GTATTGTTACTAGTTACTTTTCAGATTAAGATTTTACACATAATCTATATGATCTGTTAGTAAAACATGATCCATTGTTGCAGATTAAATTACCTAGCAGTATAAAAAGATTTTTAAATTAGCCCCACCTCCACCAGTTCCAACATTGAAGCATTATTATTATTATTATTATTATTATTATTATTATTATTATTATTATTATTGGTAGTGGTAGTAGTAGTAGAAGTACAAACAATACAACAGACAAATGTCAGAAAGTGAAAGTGAATATGCAATTCTAAAATGATTTCAGGGTACAGTGATTTCCACAGCCTGTTATAAAATGTAGAGCACAGTGGTATACAGTGTCCAACTTGTTTAGATGCTGGTGCATTCATGAAGAGCAGATTACCGTTATCCAATAAAAGTAAAAAAAAAAAAGAAGTTGCCAAAATCAAGTGTGACCTTGTCTGGAGGAGATTTATTCTTAAAAATAAAGAAACTTATTTTAAGTTTCACATTGGAAACACGGTTTTCAATGTGTGATTTGAATGACAAGTTCTGGTTCCAATAATAATACATAGCTACTTGTTGTTGTGACAACAAGAATAAATGTTAATTTCAAGCCCTTGAGCAGTTGAGATCTGTGGAAGATTAGATGTTACCTGTTTGCCATTTCAAAATTGCACGGCTATGGATTTGTCTGCATTTAACAGCAACTTGAGTTGAGTTCAATGGCGGCTGAACAACATGCTACATGTTAATGCATCAATAGTATCGTTCCAATAACATTGACTAGGGTCGTTATTTATAATATAACTCGATATAACTTGAAAAAAGCCCCACGCCCTGCAGTGATGTCACAGAGTACTGCCACACCCACGAGTACACGTCTACATCACTGCAGCAAGGTGAGAAGTTAAACTAGAGAAAGTCAGCAAAAGCAAGATTTTAGCTGATAAGTTGTTTTTTTTTCAACACTTATGTAACATTAATAAGCAACATTTTGCATTCAATACTTTTACCTTAACTTAGTATTTTTAAAGCGTAATTTTGCTACTTTTACTCAAGTAAATGATCTGAATACTTCTTCCACCACTGATCTCAATCTCATAGTTAAAACAATGAATATATAATATATTGTTTAATATGTGAAGGCACGTTTGTACACACCAAATATCACTGGGTCAATATCGCACCAACAGAATATTGGGTTAATTTAATATTTTAATCTAAAATTATACTAGGTACAGTTAACACAGTATTTTAACCAAGTGTTGTGTGTGTGCATTTATTTATTTATTGATTGACTGTACTCATTTTCTGTCCCTGAAGACTGAACAAGCCATTCATACATATTCAGTAACCTCATCTGAACCCACAACCATGCAGGTCCAACTCGATGCTTTATATCTTGCCATTCCCACGTGTAAATGCTGGAGGCTGACACACCACCACACTGCTGGGGAACAACTCTGCTGCCTTCAGGCAGTGACTTTGTGGTGTTTAATCTCCCAACACACTGCTGCTGTATTTAAAGCTGTTTGACTCGAACATACCCGTATGGCGGTGGATGCGATCTGGAGGTGGTGCAGCCTGCGAAGGGTGCTCTCTCTGTCGGTGAAGTAGGAAGCAGCCAGCTGGTGAAGGGCTTCCAGGGTCACCGTCCCCGTGGTGTTTGAGTTCCTGTTGCCGTTACGGCCGGCCTCGGCCCCCGAGGGTGAAGACTCCTGGCTGAGCTTCCTCTTGTCCACGAATATCGTCAGAGACTCTTCCCCTGGTAACAGTCAGGCAGAGGGAACGAGAGCTTCATTAGCTCTGACAGAGCAGCACTAATCACCTTTCATTAGTATCTTTTCGGGTCAGATAGAAAAGCGAAGTAGTGACTAAATGCTGTGGAGAAACTGATGGTTTGAATGATTGGAGGAAAAAGCACAGACGAGGTCTCTGAATCTCTTGAACTCCTCTTGAACTTATTCAAGATCATTGATCAAGTTCCATTAATTATTTTAATCATCTGAATTATGTTTGCCAAAAATTGAAAACAAAGCAGCTCTCAGGTCAGCACTGATTCACTAAATAAATTGTCCACTCAGAGATACTTCTAGCAATTATGAATATTACATGAGTAATGTAAAAGCAGCCAACTCCAGTTAAGTTGAAAAGTCTTAATGAGTCTGTTGTGGAACTAGAACAACAGACTCATAAAGGATTTTCAACTTTTCACACTATGTTTGAAGTATTTTGTTGAAGGAAACTCTTCAGTTTACTTGAGGTGTTTTAGTGATATGGTTACCAAAATGATTGATAAGATGAGATAAGATAAACCTTTATTAGTCCAACAGTGGGGATGTTTGAAATATGATAGATATACTGTATATAATAGATAGATAATAGATACGAGTCGTAAAAAGAAACAATAGGAAACAGTCTTGTCTCCAAGTCATGTCATGGCTGCTGGACGTCTTTGTCAGGCAAACTTAAACACAGGACGTACATGTTCAGAACAAGGACGTCCACTTCACTCAGTCAGTTGTGGCAGCTACAGCATCAGCTACGTCGCTCAAAGTCTGAACAAGAGATCAAGAGTTGTTCCAGGTGAGACAAAGGAGTCGCGTCCGGTTATTAAAACCTTCTGTGTTGTGTTGTGGTTTGTCGGGTCTGCCGTCAGAGGAGACGATTGCCTGAGAGATTGTTGAATTTTGGTATAAAATGGTGCAACTTGAGAGGCTGAGGGCACGTCCACACTGAGACGTTTTCATTTTAAAACGAAAAGGATCTCTGTGCAGACGACCGATTTAGCTCCGTATCAGAATCACTCTCCGTCCATACCATCACAACTGAAGGCACATACATACATGAGCATTCACATACACTGGGCATGCGCGAGCCGGTGTAAACAGGAGGCAGGTTGTCCACTATGCAGATGGTTAGTTGCAGAAAATACTACGAGCAAGGAACGGCAAAGGCAGCTGCAGCGTTGAAGTGCAGAATTTAACTTCACAGCAGCTGCTAGGAAAAACAGCGCCGTCAGTAACACTTCATTATAATTCATTATTCATGTTGCTTTCAGCACCTGTAGTCCAGGCTGATAAGACCCAATCAGGGAGCGACCTGGGGTGTCTACGTCGTTGTTTCCAAAGGTGTCAATTTAAACCCCAGGGTTTTCAAACTCTTAACGGGAGCAGCAGCGTTTCCAAAAGGTTCTGTTTTAGGGGCTCGTGCGGATGCCAGGTGTAAACGTAAAGCGATGCGTTTTAAAACTAAAATGTAGTGATGTGAATGCCAAACTGTATGTTTACTGGTGATGATCGACAAAGTGCTGTGTTTGCTGGAATGATATAGAAGCAACCAAAACATCAAAATAATCCTGATAACTTTTCTCGGAAGTAATTTCAACTTGCACAGCGCCTTCAAGTCGTGTGTTGTGTTCTTACAGCACACTTTTCAAACCCATGCGCTCACATCTTCTTACAAAATATACTTTGCCATAATGATTTATTAACGAGAGAAAAGATAAGCCAATTGTGTATAAATTATAGTGTTGTACAACAGTAATGAAGCTCTGTTTAGGGAACCATGCTGTTTTGACAGCCAAACAAAAATATTAAACCAGTTTTTTTTCGCCTTTTCAAATTTAGTTTTTGTACACTAAACCAGACTGATTTGAGCTTTTTTGTGAGCCAAAAGACGCTGATCCAGAAAAATTATTACATGCTTTGTTGTTTAGAAAGCAACAGACGGTAAAATCAGTGCCTCACATGCTGGAAAAAAAACAAAACAAAACAATCACATAAGAAGCTTTGTGAATCAGACTTGCTTTGAAGCTCAGTGTACTCTACTGTACCTCCAAGAGTGGCAGAGAGGAGGAGGTGGGTGCCATATTTCTTGATTAGACTCTCTGTAATCGTCTGGAGGGTTGGCCGCCTCCCCAGCTGGCGAATGGTGTGTATGAAGTCGGGGTCGAGGGGCAGAGCCAAACCGCCGCTGCCACCAAAACTGTCCCTCTTCTCTACCGCCAGGCTGTTGACCTTCCATCGGCCAAACTCCCTGGCAACACGGCAACACACACACACACACACACACACACACACACGCACACACGCACAGAGACATTTTGCTCATTTGATTGAGGCCTTTAGCTGTGTTTAAGGCCCCAGGCTGCTGTTTAACAAGCTGTGGTGGGAGCACAGGAGAAGGTGAATGTGTGTTACATATTTTAAAGCACATATATACTATACAGTGTAGTGACCCCACAGCTGTGAAGCTGTATCCCCTGAAGAGCCCTAATAATAAGCTGATGATATGTCAGAGAGCCACTTTTTTTAACCACCCACTTTCTCACTAAAGGGAGTACAAGTTTAGCTTGACCTTCAAGTCAGTCAGTTATTTATCCACTGTAAGATTTTCATTTGCAATTCCCGTGGGAATTTGATGAAGTATATTTTATTTATTTTATTCTGAACCTTTTTTGTCTTAAATACTCTGGATTTAACACTAGTAATTATATATTACACATTTTAAATAATAATATAGTGGTTACAGTTTTTCCATGGTATTGTCTGTTCAGACTTGATCTCTTTTCTTATACAGAACAAAGAGGCTTTGAAACTGCGTTTAGACATTCATGTTGGGAAATGAGACTGTTATTTTTGTTTTGTTTTTTTACCGGTCTTTTTCTGTCCCATTTGTTGGAAAGAAAATAGAGACAAAGTTCTGAGTCAAAGGAATTTCGACATTTTTGAAAATATACTTATTTACTTTCTGGCAGAGACTCACATGAGTGATGCCGCCCTCGTGTCTGTAAGGTAAATATGAAGAAGAAGCCAGCAGCTGGTTATCTTAGCATTCACATCTTTTTCTTGTATGGATTTTTTTTAAAAAACAGATAAAACATAATAATGAGTGAGCTTTAGAGTTGCTGGTTGATGGATTTTTTTGTATAGAGCCAGGCTGGCTGTTTCTCCCTCTTTCCAATCTTTATGCAGAAGCTCAGCTAACAGGCTTCTGGCTGCACCTTCATAGTTAGCCTCCAGACATGAGTGTTATCAATCTTCTTATCTAACTCTCACCAAGAAAGCAAGTGAGTGTTTTTCCCTAAAATGTCAAACTGTTTGTTTGTTTGTTCGTTTGTTTGTGTTTTTCACTCCTAATAACTGCTCTCTTTAAAGCATCTGTATTAAAATGTACTCAGGCTGTGCTGTAATTGCCCTGTCCTGCCTAGAGGTTATTGATGATTTGGATACTAAAGATGAGCATCACACCATTTTTTTTTTTGTTGTCAAATTCATGTGTTTATTTTCCTCCTATAGAAAAATATGTGGATATGTATTTACTTTTTTAACCAAATCATGATTTTTCCTTTTTCAAATCAGCTTGGCTACTCCACAATCTTTCCATGTGCCCTCTGGAAATTGCAGAAGTTCCCCCTCGGGTACAAGAACCCCAGGTTCCAATCCTTTGTGTTGCTTACTGTTGTCTGAACGCGCTTGTCACAGCTTTAAATAACTCCTATGTGGGTAAAACAGAACTTATTGCAACGCGACTCCCACTGCTACAGAAAGGCGCAAAGCCGAAAGTCCCACATCATCAGCTGCCATCATTTGTTATCTCGTGCCCTTTGGACACAAGTCTCACTCAACTCTAAAGCAGCTTCCTCCCTCCCTCCGTAGCATCAGCTTGTGTCTACCTCTCCCACAGTGCAGCCTGCTGCTCTGTGTACTTCCCTCTCCTTCTGGGAGGCAATCAAATCACTGCCATGAGAAAAACGATCGGCAGAAAAATAATTGGGGAACCGGGACAGTGTGGAGTGTGTCATTACAGCCAATCATCATAACGAGGGGACAGGCTGAGTGTCAGTCACTGGCGGACAGATGGGCATGGCAGATCCAGCCCAGGGTTTAGCTTACAGCTATTCCATCAGCATGCACACACGGCAAACAGAGGGATGTTTGCTGTAGGAAGGTCCTGGGATTTCTAAACATGATGGTTTAATGTACGTTCTGTAAGCAATCAGAAGTGATCAAAACAGCTGCTTGAAAGGAAAAGAGAACTATAAAAGCAGCTGCTGCGAAGAGTAAATGGACATCTTAATCACATGCTGCTGCATGACTGATAGGCACGTGATGCTCATGGTGGTGTAACAGAGGTCAGAGGGGTAGAATAGCAGTTTAGTCCCCCCCGGCTATTTAAGAGCACATAGAAAAATATGGAGCATCTGCAACTCTGTGGAGACTGTAAAATATAGATATGACATATTTCTAAGAATAAATGCCTCTGGTGTTTATACACTACAGTTTATACTTTTCCTGATATTATCTATCTACAAGACATTAAATAATTTGCCAAAACAAGTGGAGGAGCTATAAACTGGCCCAGACTGACTCTCCTGCCTGCAGTCATTTTACAGCAGGTATTTTTTTTTTTAAAGTCTTGGTTGAGTCTCATTTTGGAGTTATCCTTAAAATTCATAATCCCTAATCCTCGAAAAAGCCTTTGGGTTAGAAAAGTGTGCAGGCAGTTTACAGGTCGCTGCTTCAGGGTAAAAGACCCCCTCCCCCCCCCGAGTGGTGAAATGTCAGCCAGCCAAAAGGCTACAGATGGCGGCTGCCTTCGAAATTCCAATCTGTTCACCTCTTTGTCACTTTCATTGATTTTCACTAATTATGGAACAGGGTTTGGAAAAGAATATGCCTCAAGTCAGGGGACCACTGGGACATTTATGCAGCAAGGCCCATTGAAAAAAATGCAGGTGTCACTCGGAGATAAAGACCACAAACTAAAAGCTCCCTGGGAGGAGATAATGGACCGATTGATTTATAGATGCAAACATAAAGTACTTTTTCACTTTGGAAAACACTCGACAGTGTCCACCACAGAAAGAGAAGCATAGTCCTGAGGCATTGATAAACCACACAAGACTGCAGGGAGAGCAACTAAATATCAGCAGACATTGATTTTTGACAAAATCGTACACAAATATACGTGTAATATCTGATCCACCTTATAGCATGTGTGAAAAATGTCAGACTGAAGAGCATTGACTGGCATAGTTTACACCTCACAGTTGCAACAAAGCAGGAAAGACCTAAGCTTCTTTGTGAGGAACATTTCGACACAGGCAGCAGCAGCTAGAAGTGCATGCAGCTCAGGGATGCTGCAGAAAGTCACTGACAGGATGTAGCTGTCCACACACCGTCATGGCTGCAGGGGTCATTTTGAGAAAATCAACAATAACAGAATCATCAAAATGCCAAACATCCTGAAACAAAAACCCAAGAAAGAGATAAATGTTTGATTTCTATTCGGGTGGCATATCAGTTTTCAGGTGCGGGGGGGGGGGGTTGAATTTTGCAGTGCTACAGTGGTTCTTCAGATTTGCTCATCAGCTTGTGACTAATTCGGTGCAGGTGTGATACCTGTGAGGGCAATCCTGAGAGTGAGCAGCTTTTCATTCCAAACACTACAGCAGCTGCTTTCACTGATTAGTTCCTCTCTAGCTCAGAGTGCTCATCAGTGAAATTATCCAGTGGCATGTTTGAAAATCTGCACTTTGCAGCCCAAACCTGAAACAACTGAAAGAGACTTAAGAAATGTATATCTTATAGGGAAAAAGTAAATGCAGCACACACCCATAACACTCCAGCTGTCTCACCTGTAGATCTTGTATCTGGTGCTGAAGCCCTGCTGGTATCTCTCCGCAGCCTCCGTGAACTCTAGTGACTGGTGGAAGGGCCCTTTATCGGACAGCAGCCAGCCCAGGGAGCCGAGGGCGCTGTCGCCTTGTCCGGCGGCGGCAGCGGCGGCGGCGGCCCTGGAGGTCCAGCAGCAGCAGCAGCAGAGCCACAGGCTGAGAGCCGCCCCCTCCCATAGCAGAGACAGCCGCTTATGACTGATTCTCTGACAGCTCATGCTTCACCCAGCGACACCTCATTTCTCTCCGGACTGGGAGGAGGACAGGAGTAAGATACTGTTACACTTTCACACATTTCAGGGATGAAAAAGTAGTGCGTCGCGCATAGACTAAGTGCATGATCAAATCTTTTTTTTATTATTTTTTTAATTTTTTTATATATACTCAGACACTTACCTGATTTTGCAATAGGGGCCAAACGATGCGCTCTCAAGAATAAGTGAACTCTTCTGATCTTGCGAGAGCTGCGAATAAAAAAACCTCTCCTGTTCAACGATCCGACCAAATTCATTAACTCGCCATTCGTGAGTCGTTCCTTCCAGGCGCTACTCCACAACTTAATGTCCGCTCTCGCTCAACTTTATTTCGGCAGACGATCCTCCAGCACCCGCGCATCCACGCGCTCCTCGGTGACAAGTTGCAGCAGCAGCAGCAGCAGCAGCAACGGAGGCACGAGCACACAGATGATGCTCATTCCGAGGATGTCCGTGCGGTCAGAGATATGTCCAGAGGTTGAATGCAAAGCCCGGATTTTTCCATTTTTATGGGAAATCCCTTTTGTTGCACCTTAAAGTGGCTGCTATGGAATAAACAATAATCTGGATAGATGTTGCATGTGAGCTGTTATTTCCCCTCTCTGCTGAGTGGGCTGCTGGATGAATGAGCGCCTGCTGCAACACACAGAGCTTTTCTTCCCTAGTTTTTTTTTTTTTTTTTCAAGTGAGATAGCGAAAGGGCGAGCAAGTGCATCATGATGAGGATACTGTATATGGCCTGAGTGGATTCAAGTTTTGAGCATTGTGCATCAGGGCTGTTGATAATTCACCATAACCTTCACATAATTCCATGGTCATTATTTACCACCACAGCCGATTCCTCTCTCTGATAAAGTGACACATTAAAAGTGTTAAAGGGAGCTTGATAATAGGCTAATTATCTCCCAGTGTACAGTTTCTTTTTTCTTCCTTTTATTGTCCTGTGCCACAGCTTCAAAGCCTGCAGCTTGCACAACTAAATGGCCCACACCGACCCCTCCTATGATGACATGCACACTGCTGGATTTACCAGTGGGAATAATTGCAAGCCATTATCGGAGTACAGGTTTTCTTGGGTGATGTGATTCAGGTTCAGGAGTGCACTCAGTTTGGCACATCCAGACGTCATAATTTGCATGAAAAGAAAACAGTTTCTTCTCGCAAAAGGATGCTTGGATTCCTAATTATGCAAAAGAAATGTTCGACCTGCAACTTGTAAATAATAAACTTTGAACACTCGCAACATTTTAGTGTGAAGTCTTTGTTGCTAATGGCGTCTTTTTTCAGACAGTGATGGGCGAGGAGACAGGTGTAGGAACAGATGCTGATTTGGATTTCCCCTCCCCTCTCCCAACTCGCTTGCAGCAACATCACAACCACTTGACACACAGTCAACAAATCTTTCAGACATGTGAGAGCTGAATGGCGATAGGGGGAAAGTTAGCTGCCACGAGCCTTCAAATTATGGCAGAGAAGATAGCAGGGACGTAGATCTGTGTGTGTGTGAGTGTGTGAGTGTGTTTGTGTTTGGGGAAGGGAGTTGACAGGTACAGCAGATGAATCTCTTATTAGATTCTTTTGTCTGCTCTTCGGGGACTACGACAATGGAAAAAAAAAATACGATAAATTCCCAAGCCAGAAGTTGTTTGATGTTGGTGCTATTATACTTTATATTTTCCAGGAGTCCTTTGTCTGGCTCTTTCAAGTCATCTTGTCATTATGCTTGTCATTCACACTGAAAACCTGATTGACAAAGGCCTCCCTGTGTTAAATGGGCTGCGAGGAGAGTGTCTGTTATCCATGATGGGGTTGAATCAATAGTCTGCTTTTATTGATCCCCCTTTTGCTTTAATGTTATTTGGCAAGCGCTCCTCAGGATGCCAGGCGCTGCTTCTTTTCTTTTTCAAGCTCAAATTAAGAGAGTCAATTCAATAACGAGGGGTCACATCTTCAAAGCCTAAATAGCTATAGTCACCGCCGGTGCTGCTGACAGACAGACATCTGGACCGTCTCAATCAACCGAAACACTTTGAAATTTAAAACAAGAGCCACTTTTTCTGCTTCTCCTCCAGCAGGAGGATTCGCCTCCCCAGGTAGCTGATCTTGGCATTTGGGACATCTGTAATGATAGCAAAGCCTGCATTTGCTTGTGCAACAAAAGGAACGCATTAAATATTCCAACTTGTAATTTGCGTGGAGAAAGGATGGGAGAAATGAAGGAGGCTAAATGAGCTTTTCCCTCCGGGGCTGCAGACTGTTATAGTCTCCTGAAATCTGGGTCTTTGTTGTCTGTGTGAGCTGTAATTGAAAAGTTCCAGCCCCTTGTTTCTCCCTCTTCCCTCCACATTCCTTTGGTTTCCTCTCGCTCTCTCTCTCTCTCTGTCTCTCTATCCTAGTTTTTTCATCTGACATCCCTAACTTCCCTTCCACCACCCCAACCAGCAGTCTCTTTTTCTTTCTTTCAGCCTCTTTGCTTCTTCTCTCTATTTAAATTCTCTGTCATCTCTCGTTTGACTCATTCTCCTCCCCTCCCTCTTCCCTCCCCGGCTGCCTGCTGAGCTTTAGGACGAATGTAGCCTATTTTGATCATTTGCGCCCCAACCATCCGCTGAATCAACCTGCTGAATCCAAGCAGATGAGGAAAAGGGCGGAGAAACTCAGAATTGTCCAGGAAGATGATGTGAAAGGGCTTGACATGGCACTGGTGTTAATATGCCTGAACACAAATGCCTCCAGCCCACTAACATGCAATGTGCCAAAGTAATCACAAGTCAGGAATGACATTATGAATCCCTCCCACATTTGGAAGTGAGGGGTTCAACTTCACCTTACTTGACATGAAGGCTTTGGCATAAAGCAGGATTGTGCGTCTGTGGATGCGAGCATGTGAAGCCTGGCATTATCTCTGTTGAAAGGACATAAAAATGACTAATTTTGCGCAAGAGCTCTGGCATCTCTCAGACAGTTCTGCACACTTCTTTCTGTTTCAGCTGATAACACGCTGTAGCTTTCCCCCAAAGACAAATGTGTTTTACTGAGTAATTACTTCCTCTGCACCTTTTATTGTGAAAGAATGAATTGTAGTTGATGAGCACAGTGTAAAGCAGATCATGGCCGCACTGTGCTGTGTGCCCATTGTTCTTCGAAAGTCTCTCCAAAATGGAAAGGCGATGTAACTTGGCAGGTGGTGAATGTGAAAGTGCAAACAAAATGGAAGGGATGATGATGAGGTCTCGGCTTTGCTAATTCCATTTAACCCTGGAGTGAAGACAGCGATTGGACCAAACCTCTCAGTGTGAGTAATTGGACAGGCATTGGTGAAGAGATGTTTGGAAACGAAACAGCGAATGCTCCCACGCTTTTCATGAGAGCGTGAGGGGGCTGAGGCACATTAGCAGTCGTTTCAGCACATTAAACATGTTCTCGGTGCAGAGGTTTAATAAAATAAATGAATTTAGGTTTGATTAGTTTTTCTGTACCGCCTTTTGTTTCTCACTAAATCAGCGAGTGAGCAAAATATTGCGTCAGCTCTGCTATTCGTCTTACTGTAAGTTGGGAGGGTAAACAACAAAATGAAAAGTGTCTACGGATGTGAAAGAAAAATAGTGCTATTTTCCGACACGTCTGGGAGGTCTACCTGGTCGAGAGCTCTGCGGCTCTGTTGGTTATTCAGGTCAGGGAACACACATGTCCGAGGCTTTGTCAAATCTTTGGCTTCTGTGGCCCAGCTGCTATTTTTGTTTCTTCCCTGTACATGCCCTTTCATTCTTGAGTCACACTGGAGCATCGGAGGGCTGACCTAGAATACCGAACGCCTGTCACACAACAGGACACCAACATCTGTGCAGAGCAAAGGTAGCCTAACTAAACAGTGGCACCGCTCGGGAAATCCAACTGCTTTTCTATCCATTAAACAGCCTCATGATCGCAGTGCTGATAAATGCACTCTGAGGTGACTGGTGCCTTTGAATGACATGATGCATATATGCAAAAATACACTTCACGGCCTTCCTGGGTAATTATTGAGTCCTAGAGTTAAATTTATTGCTGATGAGGACAATAAAGTGGTGGCACGTTTCGTGAACTATTTCAGCATATGTTTCTCCTGCAGTGTGGCTAAAACCAAACAAACCTGCATATGTAAATCAATTCACTTGAAAGGCAACATGTTTATTTACATATTCCACTGAATTCTTGTTAGTGTTGAATAAATTATGATTTTATATCCTTATTATTTCCCTTTATCACCTTTTTATTGTATTCCTTAGTATGCTGGTTTATGGTTCTATTGAGATAATGAGAATAATCTTTATTTATAGAGCACTTCTTTAAACCCACATTACAAAGTGCTTCACATAAGACAGCAACTTCAAAACGAGTGGATCATAGGCTTACAATAAATACTGTTATTCATGCAGATGTAAGCCTTTCTATTGTGAGAGCTTTAATTTACAATATTTATTTTTCAGAAGTACACTTATTCTATTTTCTCTCTTTTCCAAGAGTTGAATTAAGTGACTGGTTGATTTCAGTGAGAAGATTGTGTCTATATAGTAAATAGCCAGCAGACCAGGGGCTGGAAACAGGGACACAGCTAACATAGCTCTGTAACAAGGGAACAAGATCGCCTACCAGCCCCTCTAAAGCTCACTAATTAACATGCTGTATTGCTTCTGTTTAACCTGTACAAAATCTGAAGTGTAAAAACTTTTTTGTGGTGTTACTGTGATTATTTGCTTGATTGTTTCTTTGCTAGGCGCTATCACCTCTTGGAGTCCCTGTTACTGTGAGGTTGCGGCACATAACCTTGCTTAAAACTTGTTTTTACACCTCAGTTTTTGTATGTATTAAACAACAGAGACAGAGCTTGTTAATGAACTTTAGAGGTGCTTATTGTACTTTTGGAAAAGAGCCAGGCTAGCTCTTTCCATGTTTCCAGTCTTTAAGCTAAGCTAAGCTAACGG